TTTATTGATAATAGGAATATTAAGTTAATGCCAATATGCTAATTTTTTCATTATTTTGTATTCTATTCAGATGGTCTTGTTTATATCCGTGAGTGCTGCTGGTTTGATAATATCTGTAGGATTCTTTTTAATGACTTCAAGTCCAGTACCGTTTAAATACATCAATTTTGGCAGMAATCTATACAGAAATCAGCCCCCTTATGCCGTTGACAAATTAACACAACTACTGAAAGGTAAGATGTGGTACATTAAGTGCTACTTGCATGAAAATGGCCTTATTTCAAAACTTCAAGCAATACAAATATATGACTCATTTATATCTATTAAAAACAATTGCGGGAAAATGTTTGTCTTGGAATTATCCCACATCAGAGAAATTTTTGATTCAAAAGATGGAAGAACAAAAGGATTGGGTAAATGACGTCATTTACTCCAACATTTTTTAATCAAATTATTAAGGATTTGCATGAATATTTTTCTTGTAATCTGTTGCTTCATGATTATTGCACCCATATGGATAGGTCTATTTGATTTCCAAGTCTTTTCTAATGTTTCGCAATTTTCGTCCAAGCAGCCCTTTAAGCTTTATACAATATGACTCAGGGTTTTTTTTTGGGGAGGGATGCTTACATTTCATATTTGAAAATGTTCAAAGGGTGGACTTAACAAAATTATCAACTATGTTCACTTTCGAAGTTAAGAATGCTATAGTTAAAAGCCACAAAAATCCCCACGAGCAAACTAAAAGTAAACTAAAATTTGTCCTTCGTTTAGCAGCCATACATGTCAATCCTAACCTTATTTGGAAGCTCGTGCGGACTGATGTTTGGCGATTTTCCCGACTTCTAAAGCATGAAATCGTCTGAACCTTGCAGATATTATAGCGAAAACATTTCTCAATAATCGGCCATTTTGTTTGTTACCATATATGGCATGGATTCGCTAAAGGAAACCCAAGAATGAAGCTAAAATGCACAGGGATCCCGTGCGAAGGACATACAATAGCCGACTTGCGAATTACGCATCAAGAGTCACATACAAAGGAATCAAGACGAGGCGCCGTGCTTTTTTGTGAAAAATCTATTGTCTTTAGCACGGCGCCTCGTCTTGATTCCTTTGTATGTGACTATTGATGCGTAATTCGCAAGTCGGCTATTCTTTGATGGTTTTGTCTTTAGGATTTCTTATTTTGCCGGCAGTTTTCTCGTGGGGATTTCTTAGTTTGCCGTAGTTTTCTCCTGGGGATTTTAGAGAGAATGCCATAAATCACTTGCGCTTTTCTCGTACTATTGTAATGTTGGTTTGCAGGCCACGGAAATCCATATCTTGATTGCCTGACAATGAACACTCTTCATGACACGTCGTTGTTAGGAAAACCTGCGTACYCGGATTAAAAACCACCGAGTAAGGGATTATATCAGCTTGCAGAGTAAAACAGTACGTACTGTTCTAACTGCGGGGGAACCACCAATCACTGGAAAAAAAATCGCGCGCTTTAAAGGCTGTAAATTTGATGTAAATATGATGTGTCGAAAATTCTGGAATTTTAATGGAAATCATTTACATCAAATTTATAGAATTTTGGACACTTACATCAAATGTACAACCTTTAAATGGGACACTGTCAATGGCACACATAAGCGAGTAAACTTGAAAACACTAGGCTAGTGTCTTCAAGTTTATTACTCCAAGTTGGCGCGACATAAATCAGATCGTAAACGTAAACAGATCTAGAATATTCCAAAGTGTGTCAAAAGCACCACAAAATGATTTAACTCGAAGGTTATACTTTCAAAGTCCGTTAGAGGTGAGACTGTTACTGCGCATGTCATCCATTGACAGTGTCCCTTTTAAAGCGCGCGATTTTTTCCAGTGAATGAGTGATAATATTGTATGCTGATAAACGCTCTGCTGCTCATGTGCACTATTGTCATCAGCATCATTATTTGTCTCGATAGGAAATGATGGGTTTTTGGAGTCGACCGCTGGCTTGTACACAACGCCATCACCATCACTCATGACAAACAAACAATCATCATCATTGTCATCATCATCAACTGTACTGACATCACCCTTATCGTCTAACACACCATTATTATCATCAACTATACTGACATTACCTTTATCATCTAGCTCTCCACTATTATCATCAACTTTATTATCATCAGTACAATCATCATCACTAGCTTTACAATCCTCTCAATCAACAACACTATTTTTATCATCACAAATCATGCCATCTTTATCATTACAATCCCAATCACTATCAACGTCGTCATCGCCATCACCTTCATCGCCGTCATTTATCTCAATAGGGAAGGACAATGTCACGTGGTCATTTCTTAACGACGATTTCCTGGAAAATAACAGAGATGGTTCGTACCCAACGCCTCTACCGTGTCCATATTTTCATTTAAGAAGGGCTGGGAAAACTCAAAAAGAATCGTATACGAATACAACCGCGTACTGCATTGAACACAAGTAAGTACCTACCATGAAACCATTGAGTCATAAAACCATTTTTAAGCGACCTTCAAAGCTCGTATATCTGATGAAGCCTTCTCAGTTGACAATAACATATTGTAAGATTGAACCTTCATAACTCAAAGACGCAACACTGAAATGCAGAAACATTTCACCATTCAGTTATTCACTTTATATAAAATCAGCTCACAGAGAATCAGAAAGTATTGTGTCAGGCGTCATAGGCATACACTTTAAGAGCTAATTTCAAGTCAGCGATATGAATTATTATATGTACTCACTCGCCTTTTTGACCCGGAAGATCCGCGTACTTTTAAAACTATATGTCCTTCATGTAGTGTTTCTCGTCCTTCATTTTTCAAATCCTTCATTTTGTTTCTAATTTATCTGATTTTTTGTTATTATTGTAACTTGTAACTTATTAAGGGTCCACAGTAATTGGTTTACGCTGTTGTGAGTTGCCTGCCTTGCTTTGTACTTTTTTTTCTTTTTCATATCTCATTTTGTATGGCGAAGCTAATAGAATAAAATAAAAATAAAATATGTATAAATATAGAAGTGGGAGCGATATTTCAAAGTGGACCACAAATCTTGCACTAAATACAGTCATGAACTATTTACATGTAAACAATTCAGTAGTGTAATCGAAGCTGCTGGATGTTTCGGAAAACAAATTATGAAGTTTAATTTTGGTGGACATACAGTTAATAAGGAAAACTACAGTCGAACATCTATTATGCGGTGACTTTTGGGAAGAAAACAGGTGACCGTTTAAAGGAGGTCACGTTTTACAGCAATTAAATGTGCAAAAGAATAGATGGGAATTCAAAAGTGACCGCTTAATGGAGGGAGTCGAACGATACAATTTCATTTTTTTATATTATATTCAACAAACTTTTTTGAAGCGGCGGGCATTGCACTATTCACTATCGCGTTACATGGTCGACTCTCCATCCAATGATATATGTAGCGTAAAATTTGTTGTTGGACTATAATGTTGTATATTATAATTGTACTCGGTTCAATGACGTACGTGGTGAGAACTCTAAAAGCGACACGAAACAACAAACACAAAATATTTCCCTGTGTTTATTCAATACAGTATCATTGTGTAGTTAGATGATCATGAAGTAGAGTCATAACACTTGCACCGTGAAATATGATCAAAATAAACAGTAAATATTAGTGTCTATTTATTAGAACGTATTCGCATAACCCACTTTTTAAATGCTAATG